CATCCTAGTTTCTAGGTGAGTAGGACAGAGGGAGGCCGGATACCCCAGGTGTCAAACGTCAGGTGTGGCTCAGGTAGGCAGACAACAAATTCAGACCATAACGACCCACCAGTACCAGGCAGCAGTGTGACTAACGTGCTGGTGTGGCTGTCATCAGTAACTATCAAGCAGTTCACGTGGCGCAGGGCGAGGCCAGGGGGGGAGTGGCGTGGGGCGAGGCAGGGGGGGAGTGGCGCAGGGCGAGGCCAGGGGGGGAGTGGCGTGGGGCGAGGCAGGGGGGAGTGGCGTGGGGCGAGGCAGGGGGGGAGTGGCGTGGGCCGAGGCAGGGGGGGAGTGGCGTGGGCCGAGGCAGGGGGGGAGTGGCGTGGGGCAAGGCAGGGGGGGGAGTGGCGTGGGCCGAGGCAGGGGGGGAGTGGCGTGGGGCGAGGCCAGGGGGGGAGTGGCGTGGGGCGAGGCCAGGGGGGGAGTGGCGTGGGGCGAGGCCAGGGGGGGGAGTGGCGTGGGGCGAGGCAGGGGAGGAGTGGCGTGGGGCGAGGCAGGGGAGGAGTGGCGTGGGGCGAGGCATCAGAGAAGGACAATAGCGACATATAAACACAGCTGTTGGATCATTATGCAGGAAGACGTATCTGGCTTGTAGTTCAACGCCACTTGCCTGTCACCCGGAGGGAGCCGGTCGGCCGAGCGGACAGCACGCTGGACTTATGATCCTGTGGTCCTGGGTTCAATCCCAGGCGCCGGCGAGAAACAATGGGCAGAGTTTCTTTCACCCTATGCCCCTGTTACCTAGCAGTAAAATAGGTACCTGGGTGTTAGTCAGCTGTCACGGGCTGCTTCCTGGGGGTGGAGGCCTGGTCGAGGACCGGGCCGCGGGGACACTAAAGCCCAGAAATCATCTCAAGGTAAGGTAATTATTAAAAGAAGGCACCAAACCGGGAAGGCTATGTAGCACCATCAAAGTGCGAAATAATCAGAGGGCGCTAAATATCACCAAGAATGCCAATACGAGAACAAAAACGCATAAGGAAATCATCTCAAGATAACCAGCCTTTTTTGTATATTGGGACTACATTAGCTATCTTCCAGCTTTCCGGTAGGTCTCCTGTTTCCAGTGACCTGTTATACACTATAGAGTGGCACACTTAAGTGCCTCTGCACCCTCTTTTAGTATCCATGGTGAGATTCTGTCAGGCCCAACAGCCTTTGTCACATTCAGCTCCAACAGATTCCTTTTGACCTCATTCCTGGTGAGGTTAATTAAATTCTTCCAAGGTGGCTTGGTTTGCCTCCGCCTTATTTAGTGCAGGGACTTCTTGTTCTATTGTGAAGACCTCCTGGAATCTCTTGTTTGAGTTCTTCACACACCACCTTGTCATTCTCTGTGTATCTGTTCTCCCCCTTTCTCAGTTTCATCACTTGTTCCTTCACTGCTGTTTTCCTTCTGATGTGGCTGTGGAGCAGTTTTGGTCGAGTCTTGGCTTTACTCGTGATGTTATTTTCATACCGTCTCTCTGCTTCTCTCCTCACTCTGAGGTACTCATTCCTGGCCCTCTGGTATCTCTCCCTGCTCTCTGGTGTTCTGTTATTCCTATAGTTTCTCCATGATATTTTACTCATTTGCTTCGCTACTATACATTCCTGGTTGAACCATGGATTCTAATTTTGCTTTCCATTTTTCTCTTTTTTGGGCGGGATAAAGCTGTCTGCAGCTTCCTGGCACTTTTGGGTGATGTAGTCCATCATATCCTGTACAGTCTTTTCTCTGAGTTCTGTTTCCAATGGTATTCCCATTAGGAAGTTCCTCATTTCGTCATTTTCCTCTTCGGAAATTTAGTCTTTTCCCTTCCAATCCCATCCTTGGATAGGTTATCCCTATCTCTACCAGATACTCAAATGCCAATACACTGTGGTCACTCATTCCTATGGGGGCTTCAAATTTGACTTCCCTTATTTCTGACTCGTTCAGGGTGAATATCAGGTCGAATATCAGGTGCATTTCGCAAGCTCAAGTAGTAAATACAAGTTGCAAACACGTTTGTTTGTTGTTTTTTTAGATTTAGCTACTCAGAACGAAGTGTTCATGTAGCACGGGTTATGGTGAGCCCGTAAAGCAAACACACACTCACTTTTCCCCAGTGCAAATGCCATCATTTCCAGCAACAAAAGATTAACTCTAAGTGTCACAAACCAATAAAATATTCCGCGTCGCACTTGCCCTCTTAACCACTACCACCATTTGCGTTTACCGAACGATTATTTTTGTATGATAAACCCGGGTGGTGGCGCGGCCACCACCGACCACCAGGGATTGCACCAAACAGTAAACAATGACACAAATGATAACCAACACACGATATCAATTATTCAGGCGCTGACCCGCTGCTGCAATCAACTACGCCCAGCATGCACGCCTTTTTTGCCACGAAATTCCATTGGCCGCACAGAATCAATCGCAATCATGTTGTGTAAAGGCTTGACGAGCCTGAGCCTCCATTTTTGTCCCCTGACGAATAACCAGCCAGAGTCCCTCCAGCGAGGGTGTACCGCCCCCTGGAGGGTGTAGTCGGCTGTGTATGTGTGTAGTTACCTTGTCTACGTCGACACACACTGAGGGGAGACTGCCTCTGGCAGGTGTAGACATGTGTCTACGTCAAGACACACTATAGGGAGTATTGTCTATGAAGAATCTCTTTCCCCCGATCTCTTAATGAGTTGAACCAACCACCGTTTCATCATTATTATTGGTTCTTCAATAGTTCGTAAACATCTCGCTTTACCGCTCACTTGATTACAATTTTATTGTTTCCTCTTAATAGTTTACTAAACTACATTTTACCTACAATTTCCCTCGTGACACCGTCGGCTTCCACCTTGTGTTACTTGTTACTGAAATACAGTAATGATTGACTCAGTTTTATGACCCACTTTCTCTCCCATGTTCCGGGATCTCATGCCTGCGCTTTCTGGGAACACACGTGTACTGTTCTGGATTCCTGTCATGACCTCATGATCCACGGCACCGCTGGCCAACCAAAGCCTGGCAAATTTTCAGCAAGTGTCTTGGGTAAGTTTAAAAAGCTGGTTAAAACAACGCCAGTTTACTGGAACATATAAACAGGTCACCGTAAAACACTGAGAACTAACATTCTCTATATACAACTGATATACACTAGTATACAGCTGATACTTTCATCAGAACAAAGAGCTTCAACACACAGCTCAACTAGTAACATCAATGAACTTCAAGAACTGAAACACAGCTATCAAATGAGTAACGGCTAATACTTAGCACAAGCTGGTTATAACTTGAGGTTATCTCGAGATGATTTCGGGGCTTTTTAGTGTCCCCGCGGCCCGGTCCTCGACCAGGCCTCCACCCCCAGAAAGGAGCCCGTGACAGCTGACTAACACCCAGGTACCTATTTTACTGCTAGGTAACAGGGGCATAGGGTGAAAGAAACTCTGCCCATTGTTTCTCGCCGGCGCCTGGGATCGAACCCAGGATCACAAGTCCAGCGTGCTGTCCGCTTGGCCGACCGGCTCCCTCAGGGGGGGGGGGATATGGGAGGAGTTCCAGCAAATTACCGGTCGATCGATCGTTTACGACTTAAATTACCGTATATTCACATCCCTCAAGTATACAGGTGTATGAACCACCATAAGCTCCTGCTAGTCCACAAAACATTACTAATACAGGAGTAAGCTAAACAAGTAATGTGTGACTATATAGTTTGACCGCAACATACATTTACACCATATATTTACACTGGTGTATGTGTGGTCATAACAGTTCCCATGCCTGCGCTTTCTGAGAACACGCACGTACTGTTTCACTGTTGTTTCAGTTGCTCACGCTCCGTCTGAGGATGCACAGCTGTTCTTCATAATCACTTACACTAATATCTTCCTTTCAATAAATTATTATACATATACATACACACAAATACACAAGCTGTACTCGGCCACGCGTTGCTGTGGCTCAGCAATGCGGCCACAGCAACCCTCCCCTTCCCCCCCTTTCTCTCTACTATTCGCCCCCTTCCTTGTCCTTTCGTCCTCTCAACAATTTCCCCCTCCCCTGTCCCCTCGTCCTCCCCATCATCCCCCACTCCCCCATTCCCTCCTCCTCCCAACCACTGCCCACTCCATCCCCTTCGTCCTCCCCACCACTGCCCACTCCATCCCCTTCGTCCTCCCCACCACTGCCCACTCCATCCCCTTCGTCCTCCCCACCACTGCCCACTCCATCCCCTTCGTCCTCCCCACCACTGCCCACTCCATCCCCTTCGTCCTCCCCACCATTATCCCCCTCCCCCCGTCCCTAGTTTTCTCCACCATCCCCTTGGCCTCCCCACTATTCCTCACTCCCTCGTCTGATGCATTATAAATGATCTGATGTGCCCATCAGAAAAATGAGAACATAAAATGATCTGATGTTGCCATCACTGAAAAATAAGAACAGTTAAAAAAAGAATGAAAAACAATTACAAATTAAAACAAACTATACTCACAAAATGAACGGTATGGTAAACAACACAGCTAAATTCCAACGCAATGTCAAAATAATTACATCGAAATGAAAATAAATCAAAATCTATGAAAATTAAATTTATCAATGCAATCGGGAAACCCCCCCCCCCAAAAAAAAAAACCAACAAAAAAAACCAACACCCCCAAAAAAACCAACACTCAAAAAAAAAACCAACAAAAAAAAAAACCAACACTCAAAAAAAAAAACAACAAAAAAAACCAACACTCAAAAAAAAAAAAACCAACACTCAAAAAAAAAACCAACACTCAAAAAAAACCAACACTCAAAAAAAACCAACATTAAAAAAAACCAACATTCAAAAAACCCCCACAACACACACACTCCATCTTCCTGTTTAGATAATACCATATCAAGGTACTATCTAAACCTTGTACTATGAAGGTTGATAGAAACTACTATGTAGATAGTTTCTATCAAGGTCACACTGACGGCAAGTTAGTGTAGCACTTACCAGGCTCCGGGGAGCAGCAGGTGTGGGCGGTGGCCAGGGTGCTGGGGTGGCCTGGCCACCTGGTAGACCTGGCCCTTGTCACGCTCCAGGTGTGGCGCTACTATCTTCCCGGGGTCGTGGGAGTGGTATAGGAGCATCTCTGCTTGATGGCGGGAGGCTGAATGTGGGCGGGACGGTGGGCGCGTGGTACAGAGCATAAGGGCGTGTAGCAACACTAGCCCAACGTCGCCGCAGCCTGCAACAGAGGCAGCAATTAGCGACAACTGCTCATTAAGCAAGACACTGTAGCAGCTTACACCAGACCGGTGTGCCACAGTCACTGGCAACACTCAAGCTAGGTAATTCCCACAGTTTATACATTGTGACCCCAAGTATATAATTACATTAGGTGTGGTCGCTACAAGCAGCACCACTGGGATGAGGTCTAACGTAGGTGGCGTGTCTGGGGCCGCCGCCATATTCCTCCACACAATGAATGGAAATTGAAATAAGTATATTGAGATATAAATACACACAAAGGCGTGAGGTAGCTAAAGCTATTCTCACCCCGTTCAGTACGTGTTCATATATATACACACGCATCACACACAACAAATATATTACGGAACATTGTGAGTGACACCATGATGGCTGACGGTGTAGCCGACGACCTGAGAATCCTCACCTTTTTCATACAAGTTTTGTGCTGTGAGCATAATATTAACTCCGGCATATACTGTTATCTTTGATTTTGGCGGCAAAGAATTTAATACTTTTTCTCAAGTGGCGAAAAGACAATTAAATTCAAGTAGAATACAACAAATAGCTGCAATTAGTATAAGAGCAGGATTAAGATAATTCGAGAAATAAGCCAATACCTTGCATTATTTGAATTTTAGTCATCATTAGCTCAGTAATGGATTCGTGCTCAGTACTGAGGTGCAACAACGGCTTTTACAGCAAGAGAAATGATTGCACATCGCTAACTTTGAGAACTGTGCAGACTGCTCAGCACATGTTAGTGCTTTACCACATGACCAAGATGCCCCCAGCTGACTATGAAGCCACAAAAACCATACCATGAAGGAATAGGCATGTACGGAAATAAAAACAAATTAGACAAGACCTAACTTGGAATATATGAGCCAGAACACCGGTGTTGACGACCTCTCTCCGTGACTCCTGAACACACACTGACACTGGAAAGGCAACACTACCACCAGCTTTTTCCCTTCCTAACAAATTGCATAGTTCCAAATAAACCAGCTTTGCACTTACAAACTTTGCCCTAAATTACTGCAAACAAACTATATCTCCAGGCTAAGATATAACCTTGCTGAACACAACGAAACATGGAATACATTTCATTCAGAACAACTTGTGGGGCGGCAGTGACGATTAGGCTTCCTTAATCTCCCCCCCCCCTTCTGACGAGTTGAACAATCATCAAATTCTCTCTACTGGCAAGTTACTCTGACACAAATTATAACTAATATTATCAATACACTATGCAAATTATCAAATTTATAAATATGCGTAAACAAAATTCAATATCGAAGGTATGACGATACATATTTTACAGAGAAAGCTGGTGGAACTATGGCTCAGGAAGAGACACTAGTTCCACCATTTATCAACACAGTTTTACATGGGTCCGTCAGCTCTCCCTTGTGATGTGCTCACTAGCTGTGTTTGTGAGCCGTGTTTTGATACCATACACCACGTGAGGTGACTGTGGGTGTTTTACAAGGAAAATGTAGGGAGGAGGCTATGTACCCATAATCTGTCCTTACCTCATAAGCCGGCACTCTGACATCGGCTTTTGTCTGCAGTGCCACTGTGGGTATGACTCGTTCCTGTGGCCTTGTTGTCCAGTGGTCTTGACGTGTGCCAGGAATCTGTCACCACTTCTGTCTTAGTCTGGTACACGACTTAGTTCTGCACCCTCTCCCACACGCTAATATGAATATTCAACATGTTTCCTCACAGTGAGTGTTAAATGTTTGTAATTTATTCAGCTCAGGTAGTCAGGTAGGAAGCCAAGGAAAGAATATGGAGCACAGAAACACAAGTAAAAAATAAGAAAATAACAAATGTTTAATGTAAAACCAAAATTATTCGACACTTAAGGAATGAAGGGGGGGGGGGATCCTAACACCCCTGAGGGCCAGATTCACGAAGCAGTTACGTATGTACTTACGAACGTTTTCCTTCTTAGCATCTTCGTAGCGGCCACGTCGGTATTCAGGTAGGCATTTAAGAAGGAAAATTTTCGTAAGTAAACGCCGTCACACTAAGAAAGCTCTCGACCACTCGTAGCTTTACGTAAACTGGATATAACTAAATTTTTCTCTACTACACAACACGGAGGATCGATTTTATTATTAACATTGGCATATTTTAGCTGGCGAATTTCATCAAGGAGTCCTTCGTGTTAGCTATATATGCATTCTCTGCTTGAAACTTGTAGTAAATATGTCTTCTATGATATTAGAATAGTTTTATAATAGCAAGATATTATACCAGTAGTTATTAAGTAAATAAACGCTGGTTAACATGAGATATAAGAGAAGGTGATGACCCCGGGCTGGTGGGAGCATTTACTATCACCAAATGCCCCTGTTCACCTAGCAATAAGTATAGCTGGGGGGGGGGGGGTGTACCTTAGCTATACATACCCATTTTGAATTTATTTTGTTTGATTTTATTTTGAAATTAAATCTGGGTGAGACATAAAAGAAAAATATGTTGCACAAATGATCCTAGGTAAGGGTAAAACCATCAAAACCTTTTGTTATTGAATACTTAGGCCTATAATTATGACTATATGGACTATTATGGCCTGTTAACAAAGAGAGCGGGGAAGCAGGGGGTCCAAGACCTCTTCCTGTTACACAGTTTGGCTGTGTGTAACAATAAGTAATTATCAAAAGAAAGCACCAAGCCGGGAAGGCTATGTAGCAGTAAGGCAGTGAGGTGAGGCAGCTACTTATTTGAGGAATACTCAGCTGATTCCTCTACATTTAGCATGGAACAAATTTGTGCTCAAGACCTCTTCCTGTTACACAATTTGGCTGTGTGTGTAAAGTAATTATCAAAAGAAGGCACCAAGCTGCGAAGGCTATGTAGCACCATTATGTGTAACAATAAACCTAATTTTTTTTAACAGATAATGCACCTGTTAGTAAAACAAATCCTATCAGCTGTAAAAATAATGATCCAGTTATTTAAATAAAAAAATATAATGAAGCAAATATTTATGGGTTGTTTATCCAATTTTTTTCTAATTAATGCAAAGAAGTGAAAAATTGAGACACTGCACAATTTAATGATTCAAAAGAAATATTAATAACATTGTTGTCTTCTTTTTATCTTGTAGTGTGTGGTTTGGTCAACAATAACAACATTACATATCAATATGTGAAGTGTGACACTCATTATATGACATGCGTGACACCCATTATATTACATGTGTGACACCCATTATATGACATGCGTGACACCCATTATATGACATGCGTCACACAAATTATATGAGACGAATGACACTAATTATCTGAGACGCGTGATACCCATTATATGACACGCGTGACATCTATTATGAGACGCGTGACACCCATCACCCATTATCTGAGAAGCGTGACACCCATTATATGACACGCGTGACACCCATTATCTGAGACGCATGGCACCTATTATATGACATGCGTGACACCCATTGTATGACATGCATGACACCCATTATATGACATGCGTGACACCCATTATATGAGACGTGTGACACCCATTATCTGAGACGCGTGACACCCATTATATGATACGTGTGACACCCATTATATGAGATGCGTGATACCCATTATATGAGACACTTGACACCCATTATATGAGACGTGTGACACCCATTATATGAGACGCTTGACACGCATTATACGAGACACATGACACCCATTATATGACATGCGTGACACCCATTATCTGAGACGTGTGACACCCATTATATGACACGTGTGACACCCCTTATATGACTCCCATTATCGGAGACGCATGACACCCATTATCTGAGACGCGTGACACCCATTATATGACACGCGTGACACCCATTATGTGAGGCACGTTCCTATGATCTTAGGCTTTAAGTTAAACATCTGCCACTGGCAGTTGTTGCTGTTTAAGGTCTGCCTCTCTTGCGAGGTAGTTACGATTAACGTAACATCAACAGGAATCAATTCTTTTGAATACGTCAAAGAAAAAAAAAATATCACAGTGGGAACGGAGTCCTGCTGCGAGCAGGTGTTTTGACGGTTGCTGAGGTGACAGCTTGAGTAACGGAACGAGCATGGGTCACTGTGTATTGATAAGTTGTTGAATAAATCTATTTTTGTTAAGACATGTGACCTTTGATGTCATTCGTCAGTTTGAAGTACTACTCCCTGGAAACACAAACCGAAACTGTCTCTATTTTCCGCTTGTTACAACTTGTAATAAAGTTGTTACATCTTGGCTTAACGTGTTTATGACGTATTAGAACGTTGTTACATCTTGATATATTGGTTGTTATAACTGGTTAGGAGGTGTTAAAACTTGTTCGAACGTTGTAGCAACGTCGTAGTTTCGGTGTGTGTTTGGCGGGACCCTCCCCCGCATTATTCATCTAAATTGCTACTTGACACTGTCATTAATTTCAGTTGGCTCAAGATTCAGCTCAAAGTCTCAAGCACTGAATACTAATTCGATGTGAAGACCCATCCGCTACCAGCAAGATTTGCTTACAAGCAAGTTGGAGAGGTCACGACCTAAGTGTGGCAGGTCTGGTGTTGCTGGTGCAGTCAGAGACCATCCTGACCTTCAGCTCCATCTGGACTACCTGCACCTTCGCGTCTTGCTCACGCCTCCAGAGAGTATTTATTTGTTTGTTTTTGGAGGCCTGGTCGAGGACCGGGCCGCGGGGACACTAAAAAAAGCCCCGAAATCTTCTCAAGATAACCTCAAGAAGGTAAACATTCGCCTCCACCTCCCAATAACCAGTAATCTCACATCTGGCGGCCAGCGTGGGGCTAGAGAGTCTTTGACGCCAAAATACTCACAGACTCACAGAGCGGGAGTCTCACAAGCACTAATGCCGCAGGGATGGTCCCAGTGTTGCCAGCGGTTCTACCACTTTACCACACAAGGCAACAAGACACTCCGTGTAAACAACAACATCAACAACGTGTGAATTCACTAAGTGGCAGGTGCTAATTCTCCTTAATTAGTTAC